TTTTAGTTAGCGGATCCGCTATCATTCAGATCAGTACCGATATGCTCAATTGACACTTTGTGTTTTTGGCACTTCTTCTTTCACAAATTAAGGTACTTCAAAATTCAGTGCTTTGCACCTTTAGAGTACCTATCATCTTTTAGGAGAAGAAGGGACAAGCTGGCGGAATTATACCAGTTAAAAATTCCTCAAAACGTCAGTTTATATTGTCGACAATGCCTAAAACTTGAGGATTTAAAGTTCCGCAACCACAAATGCATGAACCAAGTGGCCTAAAGCATGCCACAAGATTCAGCCTCCATTTGTAGAAGTAGCCAATGGACAGGCCTCAAAGCATGCCACAAATTCAGCCTCCATAGTGGAAGTAGCAATGATAGACTGCTTTCCACTTTTCCATGATACTACTCCTCCAGCTAGAAGAAACAAGTAGCCAAATGTAACTTTCTCGAATCTACACAGCCGGCATAGTCTGAATCTGAGTATCCCAACAATTCTAGATGGTTGGACTTTCTATAAGTGAGTATATGATCCTTAATGCCTTGTAAATACCTAAGTACTTTCTTTGCAGCTTTTCCAATGGTCCATCCTAGGATTACTTTGATATCACCCTAACATTCTTCCGGCGAAACTAATATATGGTCAAGTACATGTCTGAACATACATTAAGCTCCCAACCACTGACGCATATGGAATAGACTCCATCTCTTTATGTTCCAAATCATTTTTAGGACAGGACATTGCATCGCCTAAACCTATGCTCCTTTCTGAATTGGACTAGAGTTTATTTTCTTTGTAGCAGAAGTGAAGGTATCACAAGCGATGAGAACTAGAGTGTTTAGAATCTTGATATGTCTAAGAAGCAAGTTGTTGTAAGGCTATTACGTGACAAGATGACCGTAGCGTCTTTAAAGAATGGCCCAAACATTGCAAACTCTATACTTGGCGATAATCATTTACTTGACTTAAAGAGCACTTAGATAGTAGGAAAAACAAGTTAACGAAGACATAAGCCAACTGTTCTTCCTTTTAGCTAACCCAGATCATCGTCGCTTGCACACAATTGAGAATTTTTTAGTGAGTTGGATTAGTGAGGAAAATTAAGATTATTGAGTGAAAACTGAGGTACACAAGAGGAAATTAGAAGGAAAGAAGCACAAGAAGTTTAGAAGCAAAGAGGGGAAACTGTCGCCTAATGTGAGAATGAATGATGAGTTTTGTGGTTATGTTTGATTGTTGTTTATGACAACAATGATAATAATTTTTTTTAAAGTTGAGGTGTTACGAAATATAAGTAATTTTTTTAGAATTAGTTTATGTTGATTGTGTTTCATTGGTTTGATTGGAGAAATGAAATGAATTAATTCTTTGAGGTTGGAGGCCTAGTTGTGGCTATTTTGACGTTTGGTGGGATTGTTGGGATGATGTGATAGAAGTCTTTATGATAGTGTGTTTGACGTTGAGAATTGATTATGTTATGCTGGAATGCTGCCGAAATGTTTTTAAAAACTGGAAAATTTTTTTCTAAAAAAAAACTAGATATGGTTATATATATAATATATATATATATATATGTTGGCCTCAAGGGTCCAATGTTTATCTTGAGATTTGGATGATTATACAAAAACAAATAAATTTAAATGATTCTTGTAGTGTGTAATGATTATTTTGATGCAGAAATTATTGTTGGGAGAAAGTTGATTGAAGGAAGATGAAGTTCCTACTCCCAAGATTTTTCACTTTGAAGACCATGAAGATGAATGAAGATATTTCTATTGGTTAGTATTTATATAGTCTTAGCGGAAATTATTGTAGGGATAGAGAGTAAATGATATGTATAGAGCACAAATTCTATTTTATCTCTCCTCAAAAAATTATTTTAAATGTTAAATAAATTGTATTAAGATGATGATAGCCAAAGATGCTTTTACTCGTTCACGTTTTTTCCGAGTTCTAAAGTAGTCTTGTGGAGTAAATATTCTGGTAGCTGTATTAAATGGAAATTGTCGTGGCAAAAAAAGCAAGTTTCTGGATCTAAAAAAAGCAGTTTCTGATTAATGGTAGGCTATCTGTTTCTAATACAGCTGGCTGTGCTGATAAAATGTTACACTGTTTGCTAAACTAATTTAATACAGCTATCTGTTTCTGATATTAATGCTACACTGTTTTCCTAAAAACTGAACGCTTTCATCTCCAAATGCTTGCATGTGTGATATTAATGTGGTCTTAAGGCAGCCGCTGTTGTTAAGTTTGGCAACTGCATTGGCATGCCTCGTTTAGGTTTAAAAAACGTCAGAAAAAACTTTATTGCTCATTTTAGAAGCAAAAAGTAATCCCAACGTTAAGCTTCAAAAGAGAAGTATCAGCCTTTTTGCATATAAAACCATTTCCTCGTTTTTGAAGAAAGATTGGGTTTTGCAAAAGAGTAGTGAGTCTATAATGATTGTAAAGGTTTAAATCGTTCGTCAAAAGCTCTCCTCTGTGCAATGCCGCCCGTGATTTCTTTTCGTCTCTTTTTGCTTCGAAGAAAAAATTTTTAAGAGAAAAAGAAAAGTTATTAACAACATGTTTTCTGTGAAAGAACGAGTTCGTGATCTGTTGAAATTCCGTTTTCTAAAGTTCGTTTCTGTGTCTTTCCTGTCTTAATATTTGCGTTTCTCGTCGTGTCTATATAGATTCTGTTAATCGGTGTTGTTGAGACATGCTCTTTATTTGGGAAAAACTTTGTTTGTTAATAGCTTAAGGGTGGAAGAAAAAAGGCTATGGTGTTTATAGGTTAATCAAGCGGGAAGCCTTGTCTTCCTTTGGTGGTGAGAATTTCTTAATTGTCTTGATTTTTGAGTTTCTTGAATGCGTCTGCAAAAAAATCGAGAAGGGGTTTGAGGTTAAACTAAGGAAAAAAACCCCTGTGTAATCTCTCTCTTT